CCCTACCATTTCCTTCTTTTTCCTTTTGCTGCTGACATACCCCCAGCATGTCCAAAGGAAGGCGACTAAAATAGTGAAGGGTCTGGAAACCAAGCCCTATGAGGAACAACTTAGGGAGCTGGGGATGTTTAGCCTGGAGAAGAGACGGCTAAGAGGGGACATGATAGCAATGTTTAAATATCTGAAAGGGTGTCATACTGAGGATGGAGCAAGCTTCTTTTCTGCTGCTCTAGAGAATAGGACATGGAGAAATGGATTCAAATTAAAGGAAAAGAGATTCCACCTTAACATTAGGAGGAACTCCTTGACAGTAAGAGCTGTTGGACAGTGGAATGTCTTGGTGACTGGTGGAGTCTCCTTCTTTGGAGCTTTTTAAACAGAGGGTGGGAACCCATCTGTCACAGGGAGTGCATGAATTGTGTATTCCTGCATGACAGAAGGGGGGTTGGACTAGATGGCCCTTGGGATCTCTTCCAGCTCTGCGATTCAATAATAGACAGAGAAATATTTCTACTACTGCAAATGACATGTGGCCATTCTGACTGGTAGCCATTAATAAAGCCTTATTACACAAAAACCAGAGTTTCCCAATGAAATGGACTGGCAATGCGCTTCTGACCCTTCACAGAATAGGCATCTAACATTGGGAACACACTGCCACAAGATGTTGTCAGGGATGCCAACCTGGACATCCTTAAAAGGGGAATAGACAAATGTATAATTTATATTCATATATAATAGCTCTGAGGTATTCATAACTTCTGATTGTTTTTGCTGTGTGCCTTCAGGCCATTTCTGACATGACAACCCTAAGGGGAACTAATCATGGGTTTTTCTTCACAAGATTTATTCAGAGGGGCTTTGCCAATGCCTCCCTCTGAAGCTGAGAGAGTGGGACTCAGCCAAGGTCACCCAGTGGATTTCCAGGTTTAAGCAGGGATTTGAACCCTGGTTTCTCAAGTCCAGCCTAAAAGCATCTGAGGAAGTAGATTGACGTCTACGAAAGCTCCTGCTGCCAATTTATTTCTTTCAGTTAGTGTCAAAGGTGCCACAAGATCTCTCTATGTACTGATTCTACAGACTAACACGGCTATATCTTTGAATTGAATCCACTCTATAGTGACTCTTAAATATATCCGACTTAGGGTGACCCTCTAATGGGAGTTTCTTGGCCAAATGTATTCAGAAGAGCTTTCCCATGATCTTCCTCTGTGGCTGAGAGAGTGTGCCTCCTAAACAGTTTCCATGACTTAGCAGGGATTCAAATCTGGGTCCCCAGAATGGAAGAGGAAAACAGTGGCTAACTTCCATGGAATAAATCTTGCAAAGAAAGCCCTAGGAAAGGCAACACAGTGTAGTGGTTTGAGTTTTGGACTAGGACTCTCAGGTGCCAGGGTTCGAATCCCCATTCTGCCATGAAGACCTCGTCGGTGACCATGAGGAAGTTACATACTCTTGGTCTCAGAGGAAGGAAATGTTTCTGAAAAATCTAACTAAGAAAACCCTATTTTTAGAGTCACCATAGTACACTGGTTTCAGTCCGACTAGAAATGTATGCAAACAGAATTTGAATCCCTGCCCAGTTATAGAAACCCTTGGTATTTCACACACTCTCGGCCTCAGAGGAAGGCCATTGGGGAACCTCCTCTGAATTATTATTATTATTATTATTATTATTATTATTATTATTATTATTAATTTCTTACCTGTCTCTCCTCACATCTCGAAGCGGGTTACAACAAGATGCCAACCACAGATGCTGGCGAAATGTCAGAAAGAAGCTCTTCTAGAACATGGCCACACAGGCCGAAAAACCCACAAAAAACTAGCATTCCAACATAGTTAAAAATATAATTCTTACATAAAATACACATATTAAAATGCAACTCTACACAATATTTATACTAAAATACATAAAACAATGATTAAATATAAAATTCATGTTTAAAATTCATGATTAAAGTTGCCTGGGTTAAATCTTGAGATGAAAAACTTAGGATAGGGTTGTCTTGAAGACACATAGCAAGAAACTGTTGATGCAGTGGCCGAAAATGTCAATGCAGTTCTGGGCTGCATCAACAGATATAGATAGATAGATAGATAGATAGATAGATAGATAGATAGATAGATAGATAGATAGATAGATAGATAGATAGATAGATAGATAACCTTATTGCATGGCACTTACAGGAATGGGAACGGAACAGAACAGGATGAGAACGAGAACGCATGTTACTCCACAGGAGAACTCCACCGATGCTGCTGGGAGTCCCCAAACCATTCCCCAGCCATTCCTGGCAGCCATGCGGAACGGAATGGAACAGGATAAGAATGCACATTACCGCACAGGAGAATGCCACCAATGCTGCCGAGAGTCCCCAAGCCGTTCCCCAGCCGTTTCTGGCAGCCATTCAGGACGAGAACACACGTTTCTACACAGGAGAATGCCACCAATGCTGCCGGGAGTCCCCAAGCCGTTCCCCAGCTGTTCCTGGCAGCCATTCGGAATGGAACAGAACAGGACGAGAATGCATGTTACTCCATAGGAGAATGCCACCAATGCTGCCAGAAGTCCCCAAGCCGTTCCCCAGCCGTTCTTGGCAGCCATTTGGAATGGAACGGAAACGGATGAGAACACATGTTACCCCACAGGAGAACGCCACCGATGCTGCTGGGAGTCCCCAAGCCGTTCCCCAGGCGTTCCTGGCAGCCGTATGGAACAGAACAGGATGAGAACACACGTTACCACACAGGAGAATGCCACCAATGCTTCCAGGAGTCCCCAAGCCATTCCCCAGCGATTCCTGGAAGCCGTTTGGAGACTCCCAGCAGCATCAATGACATTTTCCTGTGCGGTAACATGCATTCTCGTCCTGTTCTGTTCCTTTCCGTTCCATTCCCATTCCTGTAAATAGTAGGGAATGGCACTCTCTTCTGTTTTCATGAGACATCAGCCTGGACAATTGTGTCCAGTTCTGGGTATTATAGTTCAAGAAGGATATTGACAACCTGGAAGGTGTCCAGGGAATAGTGACCAAGATGATCAAAGGTCTGAAAACCAAGTCTTATAGATGATGACTTAGGGAGCTGGGCATGTTTAGCCCGGAGGAGAGAAGACAGAGAGAGGACATGATCTCTAATTTTAAATACTAAAAGGGATATCATGGAGAAGATGGAAAAAAAGCTGGTTTTCTGCTGCTTCAGAGACTCAAACACAAACACAAGATTCAAATTACAAGGAATGGGTTTCCACCTGAACATTAGAAAGAACTTTGTTGCTGTAAGAGCTATCTGATAGTGGCATATACTGCCTCCAAGGCTAGTGGACTCTCCATCTTTAGAAGGCTTTAAATTGAG